CTCTCTCTCTCTCCAGAGCAAACACACACACACAAGTATATATGCCCGTAAAGGTAAACCTAAGCGACGGCCTCGGTGACATGGTGTTCGTGAGACGGGCTGTCAGCCCTGAGGCTAAGTGCTTTATACCTTACCTAGTTACCTTAAGGGAATCCTGACAACGTTCTGCAAAGCGCATCACACCTCTTGGGCAGCTCTAATCCAGCTCTAGGGGAGAAAGATGAGCAAATCTTTCCTGAGATTTACCTCAGAAACCCAGCAGAGGGTCATCAGTTAGGTGGCTATCGGCTGTGCGTTACTTCTCACTGCAGTGGAGTCAGAACCGACTCATGGCTGACTCTGGAACTTTTTTGAAGGCTGTAGATCCGCCTGCCTTTGGGCTGCCCGCACATCTCCTTACCCACTAGATCGCCAGAGCTCCAATGAGCGTCACACTGAAGCTCGTTATCTCCTATATGATACCATGAAAGAGTTCTCTTTAATTCTGTCATTACTAAAAATCGATGACTGAGATACACTTAGGAAAACATCAGCTGATCGACTAAAATTTCCTTTATACTATTTTAAGGGTACTCATTTTGCTTCACTGAAAAGAATTGGTTTACAATCGAATATAAATCTCTCTGATAAGATGGCCTAGTGGCAAGAAGCTGCACTGCAATCCTGAAGACATGAGGTTGGAGGCCACCAGCTGCTCTGTGGGAGAAGGATGGGCAATCTCCTCCCATGTGATCAACTGCCTCTGAAAACCTGCTGGAGGGTCAGCTATGAGTCTTGATTGCACACAACAACAACAATAACAATAACAAAGTGATTAGATAGTACTATACACCCCCCCTCCTTCATAATGATTGCTCAGGAAAGAGCCTCTGGGTTTTATCATGTCCTAAGATATTTATCATGCTAAAGTCTCTTTCCCCAGATAAGACATGTCCACATCATTGCCTACTTCTGGTATCTATTCTGCTCTGGAGGATGTGAGCAGAATATTTACAAAAGATATTTTCAGCTGCAGAGAAAACTGTTCCTTTTGGTTCCTGTTTTGAGGCTGAGTGCTATATATGGTAATAAAGAGCAAGGATGTCAGTTTAAAGACTGTTGTTATGTGTCATCGAGTCGCTTACAACTCATAAAGACCCTATGTACAACAGCCCTAAACCCTGCTCTATCCTGTGCCAATCTTATTGCCCCCGACATGCCTATTCCCATTACCCCAGTGATGGAATCAATTAATCTCATAGAGGGTCTTCCTCTCTTGCGCTGTCCCTCCACCCTCCCAAGCACGACGTCCTTCTCCAAGGACTTGTCCTTCCTTGCAACATGTCCAAAGTATGTCAGACAAAGCTTCAGAATCCTCCAAGGAACAGCCTGGCTTCACCCTTTCCAGGATGAACTTGTTTGTTCTCCTAGCAGTCTATAGTATATTCAGTACTTTTCTCCAGCACCAAAGCTCAAAGGTATCAACTCTCCTATCATCCCTAGTTATTGTTCAGCTCTCTGATGCATAGCAAGTGATTGCAAAGACCATGGCCTGGATCAAGTGCACCTTAGTCTCCAGACTGACATCATTGCTCCTCAATACCTTGGAGAGGTCTCTCCCAGCAGACTTTCCGAGTGCAATTAGTCTTTGAATTTCCTGGCTGCTGGTACCAAAAGTGTTGATTGTAGAGCCAAGCAAACTGAAGCTGTCAACAATCTCAATCTCTTCATCATGCATCATGATGCTGCCAATAGGCCCAGTGGTGAGAATCTTCCATATGAAAGTCTGCAGTCCTTGACCTTCTGCAGAAAGCACTTCAGGTTCTCTACAGTTTCAGCAAGCAGAGTTGTGTCATCTGTATAACACAGATTGTTGATGAGTCTACCTCCAATCCTGATGCCACACTTCTCCTCATACAGCCCAGCCTCCTGGATTATCTGTTCCACATATAGATTGAAAAGATATGGAGATAGAACATCCCTGGTGTACGCCCTTCCCAATTTTGAACAATGCAGTGTTTCCTTGCTCTGTTCTGATGACTGCCTCCTGGTCCAAGTATAAGTTTCTCAAAAGCACGATCAAGTGTTCTAGAATTCCCATTCATCTTAGAATCAGCCACAGTTAGTTGTGATTTACACAGTTTAAAGACTAAGGTATGCCCAATTCAAATCACGGTATTTTCAGTTGCTCTATATGCATGTGAAAGTAGGACAGTGATAAAGAAAGCAGAAGCAGCATTGATGCCTTTGAATTGTGGTAATGGTAAGGAATGGGGAATATTCTGTGCCCTGTGAAAAGGATGAACAAATCTGCCTTGGAATTGCAGTTTCTTGGAGTCAAGGATGGTGCCTCACATACTGTGGTATATTATCAGGAGAGGCCAGTCTGGAAAAGAACAGCAGGCTTGAAAGATCAGCCAATGAGAGTAAGACCTTTAACAAGGTGAGTTGCCACAGTGCCTTCAACAATGCTGTAAAGCACAACAGGGGTTGTGAAGATGGCATAAGACCAGTCTCTTCTTCTGTTGCACATAGGATCATTATGAGCCAGAACTAATTCTGCACTGAAGAACAGGTAAGAGTCTTCAAGTGAAGCAAAGTTTAATGTACTTGGCTGCTGACCAAAAGGTTCAAGGCTGGAATCTACCAGAGACTCTTGGAAGAAAGTCCTGGTGGTCTGCTTCCGATAGACCAACCATGATGAATTCTGCTCTGATGCATAATGAGGCCCCCCAGAGTTCAAGCCAACCAGACAGCAGCTTGTGGTATAGGATATTTGGGAAATACTGTGTTACAAGTGTCTGTCACAGCCTTGGGCGCCTCTGATCATGAAACCCAAAACCACTGCCTTTAAGTCCATTGTGACTCAGTTCGTGTCAACTCGCAGCAATCAGGATTTTCAAGGATGAAAGCTTTGCACGGGAAAATTGCCTCACCTTTCTCCTGGCTGCAGAACAGCTGGTAGGTTCAAACTGCCAACTTTTATATGAGCAGCCCTTTTAAAGCTTAAGCTACTGTACCATCACAGCTCCTGCCTCTGACCATGTTGTTGCTGTGTGCCATCAAGCCAGAACCAACCCATAGCTGACCCTCCAGCAGGTTTTCAGAGGCAGTTAATCACACTGGAGATTGCCCTACCTTCTCCCACAGAACAACTGGTGCATACAAACCTCATGCCTTCAGTATTACAGTGCAGCTTTTTACTACTAGGCTACCAGAGCTCCCTACCTCTGACCATGTGTATTGTCAAGTTGGAACCTACCCAAAGCTGACCCTCCAGTGGTTTCTTCCGAGACAGTTAATTGCGTGGGAAGAAATTACCCATTCTTCTCCTGTGGAGCAGCTGTTGGGATTTGAACCGTGTGTCTTTGGGCTTGCTGCACAGATTCTTGCCACCAGAGCTCCCTATTTCTGACCACAGGAGATCCAAATGGTGTTACTCTCTCAGGAGGTACAATCTTATTGGTGACCTAAAAAGCCACAAGTAACACAAGGGCAAGGCAGTATAAAGCAAGTGTAAAGTTATCCTGCTTTAGAGCTAGTGTTAACCTTGAGTGATAAGAATAACAATTCTTGGAATTTTTTTTCTTTTAAAATAAAATCTTGTCTCTCACTAATCTTTCTGTGTCATCATCTGAGAAAAACCTTATTGCCTTTGGAAAACTACCTCTCGTGTAAAGTAGCCAACCTTAGTATCACTTCATCTCTGAGTGAAGAAAGGATTGTTTTCTGAACCTGGGAGCTGACTCATAGTAGGAGAAGCCAGCTTGAGAGATATGAAGGCAATAAAGATCTATTTCTTGGGCTTGGGAAGATTCCTCTAGCATTTCACTTTTCAGAAAATTGGCACTGGTTCAGCAATGACATAAATTCTTTTATAGCCTTCCAATTTTTGTTTTATCCCAGCCCTACAAAGGAATCTACAAGTCAGGACTTGCTTAGTCAACAAACAAAAATTCTAATGCCAAAAAAAGGAAGAACTCTTTTAGGTGGAAGGCATGAAGAAACCCACCTTTCTCCTGGAGAAGCTGGAGGGAGTTTGCGGTGGGCTGATAGAGAGGGAAGGTGAGGGTGAAATGAGGCCAAGACCCCATGGGGCTCAGCACAGAGCTGGCTGCAGAAGAGGGAGGTATGAGAATGTAGCCAACTCCTATCTCTGCAAATGGGGCCTGGGCCAACGGTGAAACTTTCAGAGAAGCAGGGTCAGCCAGACATACATGTTTTAAACTTATGGTCAAAGCTAGAGACTTGAATTCCTGAGTCACCCTCCTGGGAGGAATATGACTTGCAGGAGGAAATTGCTGTACAAGTTGCCTTTACTTGTACACACACTTTTTTTTTATCAGTTCATGTTCAAGAGGAAGCAGTCACTAAAGGGTA